TTTCATGGTTACAAAAGAGGCAAACATTTTGTTTTCACTGAAAGCTCAGTGTATCTAAAGCTCGGTCTGTGTTGTTTATGGGCTGCTTGTTGGTAGTCCATAAAAGGGCAGAGTATTCGGCTGGATGCTGGATGCACTGAGCCTCTCTCGTCTTCACCATGTATAGTTTTGGTTCTTTGATTTTGTGTCTGTTTGATCAACAGGGACCCAGCTCAGCTCCAGATCCTGCACAACCAGGTCCTCATGGAGCAGCAGCAGGAGACTGAACCACAAACGCAAACCCCCATCCAGCCTCAGTCTCACCCACCGTACCAGATCCAAATCCAGCCCGGAGTCCAGACCTCCCCTGAAGCTCCACTGTGGTCTCCAAGAATACCGCACGTGCCGCCTTTACATACTACAACAGCCCTTCAGCAAACCCCCCACTCAGCACCTCCAGTGACCACCACCCCACATGCTCCAGGATCAACGTCTGCTGCAGCACTCAACGCCACCTTTTCACCTTTTCTTAACACTTCCCAAGCTTCCCTTTTGAGCTCTCCTCCTTCACTTCCTCAGCATATGAAATCCTCACTGGTGACCTCCCCCCCACCTGCCCCACAGCTAAACTCCGCCCCTTCTCTCAGTACAGCACCTGTAACCCAGATGAACACCATCCATGCCTCCCATATTAACCTGTCCCCTGCATCTTTTGCCAAAACTGCACCCACAGCCCAGTTTTACTCTCCGCCTGCACCAAAGCTCAACACGGTCCCTACAGATTCGACCCCGGCCTTGCAGCAGATCACGTCCCCGGCTCCTCTTCTAAGAAGCACCCACGCCTCCCTCATGAATCTCACACCTACCTCACACTCCTTCAACTACATCCGACCTAAAGAGTTTGTAGCCGCTCAGACCCTCTCACCGGTCAGGAGTCCTTCCCCAACAGAGTCACCAGTACCACTATTACAAGAGCTGGCTGCTGAGCTCAACTCCTCCGCGGCTAGCTCCCCTACTCTCCTCCCACCCCTCTCCCCACCACCCAGGATTTTCCCCACAAGGGTGCTCAAGTCTCCCACCAGCCCACCGTCTCTCGTATCCTCGCCTACACCGGGGTCAGTGCATAGCTTGTTCGTCCTAAGAGCCCAGTCACCCCCTCAGGCTTCTTCTCCCACCTCCAGCAGCTCCACCCCGAGTCCCATCCAAAACCCTGTCGCCTTCCTCAGCTCCGTCCTGCCATCCCTGACCCCGAGCCAGCCCACCAACTCAATGGGCCTGCCCAAGGGAGCTCCGTTAGGGTATGCCGTGTCTGACAAACGACTGCTAATGCGAATGTGAACTGTCACACGTTCTGCCATGTGTTCTGTTTTTTGCCCTCTGTTTATTCAGGCTTCAAAAGAAGGCACTGAAGATCCGCCCTCCGTCAGCTGAAGCCATCCGCGAGAGCAGAGAAATTATCCTCCTCGACATCGAGAAGAAGCTTCGAGTTAAAGACGACACTCCACATTTTGTACATCAGCAGGTACTAGGTGGTCTCTGTGGCTTGACTGCCTATTTTGTACCGATGAAGTGGTGAAGAAAATAGAACGGCGCATCAGCAAAAAGATTTTTCTTAGCCCAACGGGTGAATCCGGTGGTTTCTCTCGCCTCCACTGGATCCCCGCTCATCGGTTTAAAATATTAGTATGTGATCAATAATTGCAATAGAGTTTTTAATACTTTTAAAGATCATATTTTATCGAGTATTAACCAGTGACTGTGCTGCATTCTCACATCTTGTTGATGGGGACATTTATACGAAACCTCATTTCCAAAAAAACAACAATTGTGATGCAGCGTAAAATGCAAATGTAGCTAATCCGCTGATCATTAAACCCTTTATTTAAGACGACACATCAAATGTTTAAACTTTCAAATACTGTTATATATCGTCCCTTTTTAAATGAAATAAAGGGTTTACATGATTTTTGAAGCATTACATTGTGTTTTTATTTTTGCACAGCATTCCAGTGTTTTTGGAAATGATGAATACAGAGCAGTGCAATCATTGCCTCCCCCGGTCATTAACTGTCATTCATCTTCTGGTGTCAGTGTAGCCTAACAACCTCTGCATGCTAATAATAACAGCTTGTGCGTTATTCCATCACTCTGTGTTTGTATGAAGGGTTTGTGTGTCTTTGGTGTTCTTCATCCATCCCTGTCCTTTCATAGAAGCTGAGTAATGAGGGGAAAACAGCGAGCAGGCCCCTCGGACCAAACATTGCCGCTACTGTCATTAACTATGATGAGGTACACGGACCCGACCCAAGCACTGCTTTGCTCGAGGCTGTATGGGTTATACTTCTGTTTCAGACACAACTTAGGATACTGTCATCTACAGGGGTGCA